CCGCCATCGCCGGCGCCGTCGATTCGTCGGAGCCCGCGGCGGTGACTGATCGGGTGTTCATGGACTTCAGCGTGTGCCCTAGCTACTTCCGCTCCGATCGCCCTATCGGGTCGGATCTTGCCGCCTGTCCTGACTCCGAACCGATTGGGCGCGTAGTATTTGGGCTTTATGGCAAGATCCTGCCTCGGACTGTCGCGAATTTCAAAGCGATGTGCGGTTCGGAGGCTTATAAAGGGACCCTCATTCACAAGATTCTAGAGGTTTGCGTACGGATTTTGATTTTAATTAAATTTTTTGGTTATTTTGGAGCGTGGATGGGGTTGCGTTTAGTTTATGCTCTGAGTTCTAGAACTTCTGGTGGTTGTAGTTGGATAAAATTTTGTAAGTTAAATAAGTAAATTTCATGATAAGTTTGGATGGTTGAAGATTTTACATAATCCCTTCTAGTTAAATTAGAAATATTAGCGTCGTAGTTTAAAAAAAATCACTGTAAACTGTTGTCGCATGATGCCTCATTTATGTCTTTATGATTCTTGCTCTTGTAGAGGGCTAATTTTTTCTGTTCTTTTTTTTAACCGATAATTTTCATTGTAGATGTGAAGCAATTTGTCTTTTTAAAAAGATTACATTTGTTTTGTCATTTTAAGGTTAGTGATGTGATTTATAAGCGCTGGAGTTTCTGTTATGCATTCAGGGCCAGTTCTTTGCGGGTGGGCGGCAAGGGAGGAGAGACAAGGGGGAGGTCCGGCCACCATCAAATATAAGTAGGAATACGGAGATTGTTGATCCTAAAGCGTTTCAACTGAAGCATTTGAGACCTGGGACTCTTTCACTGTGTTTGTCCGAGAATGATGATTATGATGAGATCAAGCTTGATCCGGATTATAGGAACGTGGAGTTTTTGGTTACAACTGGACCAGGGCCATGCCCACAGCTTGATAATCAGAACATTGTGTTCGGAACAGTGCTCGAAGGTGAGCGGTTTTAGTTTTTGCTTTTTAGTATTTAGTAGTTTTGATGGAATGACATATTTAAAACGCGGATTTTGTTTCTCTGTCGATGAACTTTTATTGATATAAGAGCAACAATGTATCATCTCAAGAAGAAAAAAAGGGACACCAATTTCCTCTTTAATGTTGTTATTCCAATGAGTATGTGCGTTCTGTCCTCTTTAATATACTGGTAAGCTCCTATAAAATTTTTACTATCTATTTTCTAGACATGTACAGTTTTGGATGAGGAAACCTTTTGTTTAGAAGGTGAGACCACAGTCTTTAGTTACCTTGATTCGTATCTTAAAGTTTTAATTAAATCTTTTTGTTACAATGATGGCTTCCTCTCTTATCAACATCAACCTGCATATTGAATCTCCAAGTTCTATCACTTACTAGATATTAAGCTAGATTCTGTTGGTTGCTATTTGTACCAATTCCCTTCACATTTGGTATTATAATTTATCAAGTTCTTTAATTTTCTTTGAAATTTGAAGACACCAAATATAAAATCTTTTTAACTTTGTACTGACTTAGGATTTTAGATGTTTGGTATTTTGCTACATATCTGTAGAAACTTGTTAGCCTTTTTTTCTAATAATTTAATTTTCTGCTTTGAGTTGCTAATTGGGCTTTTTTCCGCAAAATAATGTTTTACAGCTGTAAGAGTGTTCCATAGTTCTTTATGTTTCCTGTTTGGAGTAGTGCCCAGAGTTTTGTCTGTCAAAGAGTGAGGAAGCAGTGTGTACTGCATTGTTTTAAATATCCCCGACATGGCCCGATATATCCCCCGATATATCCTGTTACAGGACTTGCCGCAACCGATATGGTCTTTAAATATCCTTTACCGCTTTTTTACTATTTTGAGTGATAAATCCCTGATATGGCCGATATATTAGCCGATATGTGGACCAATATATCTTTTTATATAGCTTGTTGCAAAATAATATACCGTGTTTGGAATTTTTGGGCGAGATATCAAGATTTCCCCATTATATCAAATGACATTTTGCCCTAAAAAAAGCAGATCGAATGTTGCAACCTTGCTTTGCACTTTTGTTTATTTTAGAAGGTAGATTAGTGATCCTAAAGATATATTATTCATATTTTGTATGCTTAAATTTCATTACATATGTTGAGATTACATTTTAATGCATTATACTATGTATGCAAACATTCATTATGGCATTCCGATATTTACCACATATCCCCGATATTTCCCCGATATCCGCAATCCGATATTTAATATTGGTCATCCGATATTTTCCCGATATCCGCTATTTAAAACAAGTGTAGGTACTGTACAAGTGTTAAAGAAATAAATTACATACTGTCAGATAAGATTCTTTTTCTGGAGATTGTAGACTCAAGGAAAAAGTAAAGCAAGAAGGGAAATATTCACTAAATTAGAGGCTTTTTAGAAGAGGATTCGTAATTGGGAAGTAGTGTGCAACCATACGCATGTTAGGGTCACTATTTGGCATGAGTACTAATTGCTCATATGTAATATATGTAATTTAGTTGAATGAAGAATCAGGAATATGATCTGTTTAATTATGCAGGCTAGGTAGATCGAACTTTCTTCTTTTCAGCCATAATTAGAGAAGAGTGTACAGGCATATCCATATCATGTTTCCTAGTTAGCAAGAGTACTACTATATGCAATAAATGAAAAAAAGGTTGAATGATGAATCCAATCTATTGATTTGACCCTAGTTAGAGAGAAGCTTCTTTTTTCAACAAAGAGCGTAGCTTGGCTTGAAACTAGGGCCTATGATAATCCAATTCTCTGCTTGACCATTTACTCATTTTCAATAATTCACATTTTAACCTTCAACTTGCATGAATGGGAATGGTACGGAAGCAACTGAGCTTTCAAGTTAGTATTGTAACTTAAGAACTCTTACAATATTTACCCTTGGTTTAAGGAACCTTTCTGTCTGTAATATCTAGAGAATAATTTCTTATCATGCCATATAATTGGGTTCAAGATCAGGGCAGGAAGCACTCTTTGTTGAAAAAAAGAAAATTCATCTAGCTTGCAGAATTAAATAGATTCAATTTTCAATCCAACTTACCTTCAGTATATTTATAACTAAGCTCCCCCCCCCCCCAAAAAAAAAAAAAAAAAAAAAAAAAAAAAACTTGGGAGAGAAAATATAACTTAAATAGGTAGTGATTCTTCTAGCTAGTGGATATGCCAGTGTACACTCACGATTCCTCTCTTAAGAGCTAGAAAATTGTCTCTACATGGACGTGGATTTTCCCGTTAGAGGCTGCTAGTGTGAACTATGGGCTGGTTGTTTGTCTTATCGATATCTCTTCACATAGTTTAATTAAGTTGTTTTGGATGCTCACCCTGTAGCATACGCTTTCCAATTATTGGTTGAAAGAGGGAATAAGTTAGTTGACTGTCCCTATTCTCCTATATCTTCAATGTTTCACTTTCAAGGAAACAAATTCAAATTTAGGATTTTGCAAGTGCTTCCCTCTCCATTTGCAAAATACAAATGACCTGGACTTGTAAACAGTTTCAGTTTGCCAAAACCAGTTAGTTAAGCTACTAGAATTTCGATGTAAAGGAATGAGTTGCTTGACATAATCTTTTTTTCTAGTTTATCCTCTTTCCAAAATGGGTTGCATTTCTCAGTTTTTTATTGGAAAAATTGAATATGCTTGAAGAACACTGGCATTGGTTTAGTGTTGAGAAGTGTAGTTCTTTAAGTAGATACAAATGAACATGGTTGGGTTGCTTCAAAAGGGGCCCTGATTTGGTGGACCACTCAAAATGCAAACACCCTAACGGGTGGTTTGCATGGGGACCAAGTCAGCACTGAGTTGGCTCCCTTGCAGACCAGACGTTAAGTGTGTTCTGTGTTCTAAGTGGTTCAAGAAATCCAAGGCCTTTCCAAGGAATTGCAGATCTGGCTATTGTCTCTTATCAGAGACCTAGAGATAATTATGTGGGCACCTTATTTTCTTTCCTTACCCTTATGTGCATGCCATTTAAGGTTTAACTGTCATGCATTATAACTGGTTGGGGTGCTTCAAAGGAAGGCCAAGCTGTGGATTTTTTTTTTGGGAAATGTCAAGGTGCTTTTTTCCTTGCCCATGATGCGAGCAGGCATTTAGTTCTTGGAACATTTACCAATTTATGGTTGAGATTTTTGTCAGGATCCTTGCAGCTATTTGATCCTGTCAACTTGGTAAAGGTAATAGAAGATAAGCACGGTGAAGATGGTTAATGGGGACCATAAGTGATAATTTCATGGGACTATTATTATACTTTAAGTATCCATTTAGTCACTTAGAATCGTGTTCATGAAAGCATAGACTTGCTACCTAGTTGCCGAGTCTGCAGCAGTAATACAACTTCTCAACCAGCAACGGATAAGTTCTTTGTCTATGTTAGCCCATTAAAAAGCGTCTTCTAGAAGTTGGAAGGTTGTTTTGGTAAAATATGTTTTATATAGGCACAGATCTTTTTTTTTTGCATTAGTTGACTAGATGTAGCATGACGTAGGACTTTTAGCCCAACCAGGGATATCCTTGAGAAGAAAAATATAAGGTGCTACCATATCAGTTATAAACGTAAGTACTAGTTTTTATTTGTTTACTTTAGTGGATTCGGATGTGTTTGAACAACAAAGTAATGAACTTAATGATGGCCAACTCTTTATCCAATAGGAGGGGGACACCTCACTTGTCCCCCCTATTGGTCCTATATTTTGGGTCCTTGGAGAATTTTTCTTTACTTAACCATGTGTGCGTCTGAACATGTTTGATATATTTTGATAGTTGTAGTTTATCTTCAAGATGTTTGAACACATTCTAAATCAAGGGATACTAATATCCATATGTATTATAAAATTATTATGGAAGTGAATTCAGAGTGGACTGTTTGTATTTGTCGGGTGTATACAGCTAACTTAATAGCTTCTACTCTCCTCCCTGTCCTGAGGCAAGAGTTTATTATCATTTAAAAACACTTCCTATCCCTTCACGATATAAGAAATGAGTTGGTTTTAATCCAATGGAGACAGAGGGATGGTTTGAATTTTTAATGAAGAGGAAGGCAAGCTTAAGCCTCTATATTGGGCTGTTTGGATAGCTCAAATACATAGAAGACGCATAGAAAAATATCTGACACACCATGTGCCATTTACTTCTCGGTGAAGATTGACCTAAAACTAACATCGCTGTAACACTCTTACCTAAAAACAAACGCCGATAACACTTTGATCTAAAAACTCACAAATACGGCGACAAGTAGGTCTATCCGGCCGAAAAACATAACTTTGCCATTAGTTTAAGCAAAAATTTAAGAGTATTTTTCATATAGGCCATTAATCACTCATATTTTTTGGATATACCTCCTCAAGTTTTAAAATTTGTAAAAAATTTCTCTCTCCCTCCCTTTCCACCATCTCCTTCCTCCTCCTCACCATCTCCTCCATTCTTTTCTCCTCTTCATCCTCAACCTCCCTCCTCTCTTCCACACACTCTCTCCCCCTCCTCCATATCTCCATCTTATCTCATCCTTTTCTTCTTTCTTCAACCTCACATCTTCATAACTTTCTTTAACTTCCCTTTGAATGTTTGATGTTCGGTCTGAGAGAGAAAAAAGACGTTAGGTTTTCAAGTAGATGTTTAATGTTGGAGACTAGGAGTTGGCAGAGCAAGGGTAGAGAGGGAGTAGGAGAGAGGATTGGGGAGTTGGGAAAAGGAATGGAGGAGATGGTGAATGGAAAAGGTAAGAGTGAGAATATGAGAAAGGAGGGAGAATGAATGGAAGAGAGGATGGAAAGTTGAGAATATGGAGAAGAGAGTGGAGGAGATGATGGGAAGGATGAGGGAGGAGACGGTGCGAAGGGAGGATTTTTTTTAATAAACTTTAAAACATAGAGAGGGAGAAGAGGGGTTAATCCAAATAATATGGGAGACTTAGGAATCTACATGAAAAAATCTATTAATTTTTCGCTTGAAAATTATCTCTAGCAATAGGATAGGTCTGTTTGTCATCATATTTATGAGTTTTTAGGCTAAAGTGTTGTCGGCGTCTGTTCTTAGGCTAGAATGTTAAAGCGGTGTCAGTTTTTTGGTCAGTTTGGTATTTTAGCCATTTTCCTATAATTTTTTTGTTTCTTTGCTTGGTTAGAGCCAAATTATAGGAAATCTACTTTTTAGTTTTCCTGAAAGTAGGCTGACTTTCTCGAAACCATTTTCGAGCATGGGGTAGAAACCTAACGGTTTTTATTGAAAAATAAAAAGGTGGTTCTTTTGAAGCATAATGGTTGTTTTGTAATACTAGTATAGTACACATGCTTTGCACAAGACTATGCTTATTTTGTTTATGTTTTTCAATTTTTTGTTGTTGGCTGCAAAATAATAAAATGACTTGCATAGTAATATAAATTATGAACAATCACAATTTTGTTTAAATGAATAAAGTATATGATAAATCCATGTATAAAGAACTGTATGATTAATTATTACAGTTTGGATAATTATTATAATTTATTCATAATTTGTTAAAATAATTATCATATATTGAATAATTTCTTCTCTTTTAAATATAATAATATTACACATAGCATATTTATAATACTATTAGTAACTATATTTTAATTTAATAATTAGTTTATTGTACTATTATTAAATAATTTAATAAATTGTATAATTACTAAATTAATTTAAAAATGCTATTAAAATCATTATACTATTAATATTATTACAATTATAATAAATACAAATTGTTTTTCATACTATTATCATACTTTTAAGAGGCTAATAAGATGAAAGATAACAGGTAGTTCTCCATAAGAGGTGAAACCCAAAGGCACAAGACATGAGCCTAATGAATTTTTCTTATTTTAAAATTTTCTAGAATTTTAAATATTAAGTGAATATTAATTAGGGACAATTTTCAAATTTTCTATGAAATAACATACTTAAATAATAAAATAATAGTGTGACCACAGCTTTCAAAAAAGTGAGGAAATGCATAATTAACAAGAGGTTATAATATATAATTAATGAATTATTAATTACAACCAATGACATATTTGAGAATTATCAAACCTAGAAGGGTAAAAATGGAAATCAAAAGTTTTGACAAGACAATCCTCTTTTATATGTTGTATAGATTAAGTGGTTTGTTTTTTACTTTTCTCTTCACATTCCAAGCAACTGAAAGAGTTGAAATCCATTTCCAGAGTGGTTTACAACATTAAAAACAACAAAATTAGTTTTTTTATGGAAACTATACAAACCTTTTCCATACCATGGATTCCTTTTTCTATGTTTGTAGGAAAATAACCAAACAACATATATGTGGATGTTCTTCTATTTGGTAGGAATTTTGGAGCATATTTATGCTGAGAAGATTACTTATAGCGAGCAGAATCTTGTATTATGTTCATCCACCCTCGGAAAAAGTCAAATACGCTAAACCCCTCAAAGCTCAAAGACTTGTTCATTTACCTCACAAATACTTTCCAGCTCATCATCTCATTTTTCTTCCCTTTTTACCCTTTTGTCCTTATCTTCTCATTCTTTTATCTTCTTCCTCTCACCCAAAAAAAGAGGCATCAATGGCGCCACTCCTTCAACTTCATTGACCTCATCTTAAGGAAATTATCAAATAGCTTCGACCTTGCAGAAGAGAGAGCCACTGTCACCTAAGGAAATCGTTGGCGAGAGGGGCAGTTGATGAGGGAAAGTAAAGTGGGATATCACTCGGAGAACTTTTAGTTGGGGTTTTTATTAGACTGATAATGGGCCCAACCAAGTGAGATTGGATTTTGGATTTGGGCTGTCCATTCTGAAGATAGGCCAAAATTAGATAAAACAATAATTGAAAACTTTAATTCCCCGCCCCCCCATCAGCCTTCTTTTTGGGGTGAGAGGAGGAAGAAGATGAAAGAAAGAGAAGATGAGGACAAAAGGGTAAAAAGGGAAGAGAAAAGAGCTGATGAGCTTGAAAGTCTTTGTAAAAAGGTAAATGAACAAGTCTTTAAATCTGAGGGGTTTTGGCCTTTGGGGATTCGAATTTTACGAAGGGTGTAGGTGAAGAAATTTCAAGATTTAGCTTGCTATAAGCAATTTTCTCATTTATTTTTTATACTAAATTGATTTCTAGGATGATTGACAGCATAAGGAAGTATGTAGAGCATGTTCTTTTACAACCACTAGATGGGATGCCATATTGTTAAAAGCCTTTTTTGTGGGACAAATGCCTTTATCAAGGCTACTTCGTGAGCTTTATGAGTCGGTTTTTGCATAAAACTCGGACTGCATATAAGATGTTCTAAGTGTTTTACTATATCTAGGGATCTCATAAAGATCGTTTAATCTAGTCCAGGAGATGGTGACTTACATTGTCTCAAGAGTAAAGGATACCTTGATTGGACCTCATGCATTGACCAGAATCGAACCTATCTATAATTACCGGTTATAGGTAGAACATAATGGTATGATTATAACTGGATCAATCCATCTTACACAGGGCTGCTTAAGGTCAAGGCACTAGATCCGATTGACCTAACTTGACCCGACTATTATTCTGCACAAGAAGTCTTTGTTGTTCCTAGCGGCAAGTACCGTAGTCAATCAATGTGGAAAATAACATCCATAATCCTCTTTGTAAATAAAGTAAGGATAATTATGGTCATTGGTAAAACAAGGCGACATATTGAATTAAATAATTGAATCTCATGAAATATTAACCACATTTCTCATCTTTCTCCTTGAAACTTTTAAAAAACCCACAAAGTTAATACACGCTTCACTTTCTATTAATCCTTCAACATTTCCATTCTAGACAAATTCCCTATACAAATGAAATCCAACTCTACTCACTCTAGTTAAGACCAAAGGTCTTATGAGTATAGTATCAACTTGTCATGGGTTGGAAACAAAGTTATGCTTTGCTCATTTATAACAGAGAACTACAGTAATAGAGGAGTCCTGAGAATTGCAAATGGACGAATTATTTTACTCTGTAATATAGTTTTGTCTGCTAGTGATTGCATGAAGAAGCTAGCCAAAAAGGGATCCAATACATAGTATTATAGATTTTGGAGACCAAAATTATGTCTCTCTAGCGGATAATACTTGTATTATTGGCTCCATTTGCAATCCTTGAGAGTTCTCTGTAAGTCATAGTTCTTTGTTTGTCGTGAATGAGTAGGGGCATATCTGTATTTCCACTTTTAGAGCCAAAAATGTTTGGCTCTACTCGAAAGAGCTTAGTTGCTGTTGACGGGATCCAATACATTGTATTACAGATTTTGGAGACCAGATTTATGCGTCTCTAGCGGATAATACTTGTATTAGAAGCTCCGTTTTGCAATCCCTGAGAATTCTCTAATGTTATAGTTCTTTGTTTGTTGTGAATGAGTAGAACATATCCATATTTTCGCTTTCAAAGCCATTGTGGATTTCATTTGTATGTGAAATTTTATCTAATGAAATGAATGAAGGATGTACAAAAAGTGAGAAAATTTGGGTTAATATTTCATTATATATTTGGGTTAATATTTCATTATATTCAACTATTTAATTCATTGACTAAAGCTCCCTGAAGCTCGATCCTGGGAACACCATGTATAAAAAAAAATATGTGGTTGTAGGAAGGGAGTGAACTAAAGGGTGTTTAGAGGACAGCATCTTATAATTTCTTTTACCTGTTACAGTTTATAATTTCTTTTGCAACTAAATAATGCTTTTAAGGGTGCTCTAAACTCCCAGCATGCCTTCTCACTTTTTTGGGTTCGCTTTAGCCAAGTTATAATCCTTATTCTTATCCTACGCTGGAATCAAGTACAAGTTGGGATTTCTATTTGTTATGTTCAGTCTTTCACTGTTGAAACTGGATTTTTATTGCTGTTGACAACATTCGTTTCAGGAATGGATGTTGTCACTGCGATCGCTGCAATCCCAACTTATATACCGGCTGAAAGGATTCGTCTGTTCAATGATTTTGCCGAGTTCATTGGGGACGAGAGAGCTCAGACAGCTCGTACTATGTGGAACAAACCTCTCAAGACGATCTACATCAGCGACTGTGGAGAGCTCAAAGTCGCGAAACCATCCCTTACCCCAAGTCTACCTTAACTCTGGGCCATTGATGATCTAATTTATAAGCTTATTTTGTACTGCATTGCTTCTTCCAGAACTTGTATCTTGTTGAGTTGCTTACAATTGCTGGATTTTTCATCCGTAAGATGATGCGTATAGCTTGTCACACTAAAACTTTCTCAAAACACTTGACTGCAGAAGAAAATAGTGTTTTGACCATTTTATCCATTGTTTTATGTCCTTCCTTCCACTTTATTTAGAGGGTGTTGAGGACTTTTTGATACTTTTAAGCTAAGCTGTCTTTGGCTTTTGGTTATCTTTAGCTCTTAATAACGACTTATAACATTGTGTGGGTAGAAAAGTCATTTGTTTGGTCAAATTTAAATATTTTTTGTAGCATATAAACTATGCTATTGTTTGGTGTTTTTTTTTTTGAATTTTATGATAAAGTTTTTATAATGTTTGTATGGGTAGAAAAGATGAGTTTTTTTCCCCCGAAAGTTGGATGGTCTTAATTTTTTTTAAATATTGAGCTTAAAAGCTATTTAAGATGCCGCCAAACATATAGATAGGAAAAGTGAAGTTACTCTGATCAAAATACGAGCTTCCTAAAACACCCTCCAAAGTATTGACCGGTTGATTTGCAGTAATTAAAAAGATCACCTTGAATGGAAGTAAAGTTAATGTAGCCTGAAACCAAAGGAGTAACATAATTGGGCAAAGTCACTCTGTTATTTCCATTCAGTTCAATAAATAATTTCACCATGATTAACATGTCTTAAAAATTAACTAATAGAATAACCATCATTTGGTACTGGTGCTTAGATTCAAACCTCCTTAATTTAGTCTGATAAGAAAACTCCTTTAATTTAGTTTTAGGACAGGATAAATGAAATTTAAAGGAAATAATAATAATAATAATAATTAAGTATGTGAGAAAAATTGGCAACATAGAGAGATTTTTAGAGGAAGTGTATTGTGAAAGGATTTTCATTTCTAAGAATTGTTTCGAATACGGGCAAAAAGTGATCAAGAACAATCATTTCCAATAATTGATCTCTAAACGATTTCATACCTACCATCATACAAAACGTTAGAAGACATCACAATATACATTTTCAAACATTTCCAACAATTCCAGACCGATGGGAACTATTAAAAACAAAAAGACAAAAAGTAAAAAAAAAAATTCCATTCCACAGGAATTATTAAAAACAAAAAGATAAAAAGTAAATAAAATAAAATCCGACCTGCCGGATTCGAACCAGCGACCTAAGGATTAATCTGCGGAAAACTACAGTCCTCCGCTCTACCAACTGAGCTAAGGTCGGAAGGTGTTAGACCCGAGTCTTCAAATTAAAATAAACGATAACATGTATTTGATTAATAAAGAGTTCATATAGAACCTAGGACTTAGTTCTCGAAAGGCTAAATTATCAGATTGTTATTAAAAATAATTCCGGCGATGATAAAAAATAATTCCAGCAATGATAAGGTATTTAAACTTTCACGACGTGACAAAGTAACCTAAAAATAAATTTTTCATCAACCAATCATATAATCTGTCATGAGATTCTTATGAGGTGTATCTACGATAACGTGACGGTTGTAGTTACCCTAATTCAAACCATTAGAGGGGATTATTTTTAAATTAACGTAAAAGAAAGGAGGAAGTTTTTAACTTAGGGGCTTCTTCTCCTTCTTCCATTAAACTGGGGTTGAACATGGATTCTTTGAACTCATGCAATGAAGAACTCCCAATTTCAAGGAAGGAGGAGGAAAAAGTCCCAAATTTAAAAAAAAAAACTATCTTTTCTTTTACTCTAATTTGAAACTTCCTCCTTTTAATGGATTCAATGAGGTTAACTACAGTTGTCACATCTTCATAAATATGTCATCTAAGCGTACGTGACAAGTGACCTGAGTGGTCGTAGGAAAAATATCCGGAACACTTATTTTTGAATCTATTTGTCTGATCACACAAGTTTAAATACCTCATCGTCACCGAAATTCCTTTTAATGCCAATATGGTTATTAGGTGCAATTTTTAATACCAATCTGGTAATTGAACCCGTTCTAGAAACATCTCAACTTGCAAGAGTTTTGTCCTTTTTTGTGTGTGTGGTTAAAAGGTCAACCAAATTGTATGTCGTGATTTGATTTGTGAGAGTAAAATCAATAAAAAGAGGAGAAGAAACACTGTATTTTGCGTGTTTAAAAGGTCAAGGTATATACCCAAAGCTTGGAAGCAAAGTATCACCTAAATTGGCTTGCTTTACGTAATGGGAACATTTGCAGGCAAAGAGTAGACTGCCACCATAAAAAAAGGTGACACTACGGTCACACTGCCCACCACACCATGGGACACAACCCCCCTCACAGCTACAGTGCACGGGCCCACTTTAGATTTTTTTAAAAAATCTAAAGTGGACCCGTGCACTGTAGCTGTGAGGGGGGTTGTGTCTCATGGTATGGTGGGGAGTGTGACCGTAGTGTTTTTTTAAAGGAAAATACAAGCAATAAATATGTGTTTCCTCCTCCTCCTCAATTGATTTGAGATTCCTTGTCCTATCAGTGTTTGGTCAAACAAGATAAAAGGAGGTAGGGGAAAAAAAAACACAGCAAGCAGTCATCTCAACAGCATATATGACGCTCAAAAGGCTTTTCAATTTAGATAACACAAGTTACACAACGAAAGAGATTGAGATAAACAAACAGAGTAAAAACATTATTTGATGAGGACAGATTTTGTTTCCAAAGAAAAAGAAGCGAGAAGCATGACGTCGAGGCAACGCGCATTTTTCTGGCCCTTAATTTTCCTTAAGGACAGATAAAAAAAATCATCTTGGTAGACACTAGACAGAGAAAATAAATGAACCGTGCGCTGTCAAAAAATTTATTAGAAAATGGTTTATTTATTTTTGCCTACAGTCTCGGTGCTCCATGAAGATTTGTTAGAGCACCGGTGGCAATATCTATAAATAAATTCCTTAAAAATAGCTCTCACATCTCTAGATAGATAGATTTGGCGGTTATGAGGTGTTCCACACCCAAAATTATAATTACCTATAATTTCAATTAGATAAAAAATGTTATTTAAGGAAATACAATTTAGGTGAGAAACATAATTTATGATTTGTTAGAATTCTCCAACTAACCACATACAAATATACGTAGAGAAATTAATCTTAAGGTCTGTTAAAACTCCAAACTAACCACGTACGAAAAACGATGTAGTTTTTTTCCCAATATATGCTCATAATTAAATTAAACAATTTAATTTTATATTAGTCTCTGTTTTTATTTCCATTGGTTATTTTGATCAAACTATATTAAATTAAACAATTTAATTTTATATTAGTCTCTGTTTTTATTTCCATTGGTTATTTTGATCAAACTATGTTCATATACGGTAACAAATTTTTTTTTAGTCTCTGTTTTTATTTCCATTGGTTATTTTGATCAAACTATGTTCATATACGGTAACAAATTTTTTTGTTTCTAGCAAATTGTTTTTTAAAATTTCAAGATAACATTTCTTTTTGATTTTTTAAGTTAGTTATAAATCTAACTATTTTCTTCTTGTTTCTACCGATCTCCAATTTTCATATAGATAAAATCTTAAAATTTTCTTTTTTGTATAAATAAATTTCTTCAACTTTAAATGGTTTAATTAGTTAACGATCTCATATAAAAGAAGTGTGGGAATTTTAGTTTTGGCAAAGAGAGATAGACTGGTAGAAAAACATGAGAAGACAAATGTACCCTTTCTATTTTTAAGCCTAACTTCTTTTTTTTTTGTCAAATTAAAATAAAAATAAACTACTATTATTAGAGCACCGAAGCAAACCTCTATTTTTTTTTTTTAAATTTAGAAGCTTTTGCGTTTTCTCTTTTTTACCACTTTCGGACAATCACGCGCCCGCAAACCCATCAAACTTATACCAAGAATGTACATCGATAAAAAAAAAGGAGCAACTATTTTTAAATGGCATCAACCCTTTTGTCCTTTGCACCCATCTCAACGAGGGGCTCATTATCAACAAACGCTAATGATATGGGGCCCATTTAACAACTGCATTAGGTGACTAGGCCCACCTTACAACTTGGCCCAAGTTGGCAGAGGAAGGCCTTAGCGCTCCCGCATCGTATACACACGCGTGAATTAAAAATGTGGCTCGATATTTAATTAGGAAACGGATACGATGGTATCAAAAACTTTTTGCCCAACCTCAGAAGCAAATCCCTCCACCCAACTTCTTTTCCTTGGGCCAATTATGGGATAATTGAAATAATTTCTTTAAGAAAATCACCAGGGGGGCATCCATCAACGTATAGTACAAATTAAGGAGCATCTATGAAAATATGCAAGATGACAAACGCATTAATTTTAAGAATTGGATTGATGGATTCATGGATAAAGATGGAGACTAGCTCCAATGGCCTCCGAGGAAAAGAAATATATAGTTTCTTTAGGGTTTTCTTAAAGCAAAAAAAAGAGACTTTTAAGCTGTGTGATCGGGGGATTTGGTGAGAGATTTGAGAGCTTTGTTTGAGAGACAAATTTGTGAGTTTTGAGTGAATTTGTATTCTATATTTGTACTCTCTCTCTCTCTAATAGTAAAACTCATCAACTCCTTACCCCGTGAACGTAGGCACATTGCTGAACCACGTAAAATCTATGTCATGTTTGGTTCTTGTTTTACCTATTGGTTGTGATTCTATCTCAGATTGGTTGTGTTTCTTCGATTCCGCTGCGCACAACAGTAGTTTAAATAGATCTTTCCGGTGGGGGGTGTTAATAAAGTTTTACTATGTATGAAATGAAGGGAGATATTTAGGCTCATGTGTGACTACAGGTCAATGGAGCACTTTAGTTGTAGCCCAATCTCTCACTCGAGTATAAATTGCACGTGTTGGGCGTGTAGCGATGGCTCAAGAAATAAGTTGAAATGCACTAAATGATGCAGGCATTGGATAAATTGTGAGGGGGAGACCATAGCTAGGGTTATGCTAAAAATTTGGGGTTCCTTTTTCCAATGTCCATAAGGGGCTGTTTGGTTCCCTGTTTTTAAGGGAAAGTTTTTCTTGAAAGCCTGCTAAAAGTGTCAAAAGTGTTACTTTTTGGCAGGCTTTCAGCCAAAATCTTCTTTTTTAGAGGTGATTTGGGTTGAAAGCCTGCCAAAAAGTGACACTTTGGCAGGCTTTCAAGAGAAAAAAATTCTAACCAAACAGCCCCTAAATTGAATCCAGAAAAAGGAAATGCACACCCCTC